GGCTTACCTAATACTTCCATCTGGGACACCCATCTTAAAATGTGGACGTTACTAGGCTTATTAGCGAGATCGTCCAGCTCATACTTCCACAGCACTTTGTATGGGAGCTTCCAAAAGGTATCAAGAATAACATTCAGGGTGCGTGGAGAAATATCCTTACTTTTAATGTTACTACCTAAACTAAAGTAGATGAAACCCTCGGATGCTCCGTCTAAAATCTTCTTTACCCTCTGAAACAGCATTAACGTCACGCATGATTAATCGCTTAGTCACCTACATTCTCAAGAGGTTTTACGGGTACCCTAGCGATTGTGCCACCAATTTGAATAACAGACGGAAGCAGTGGTCGTTTGTAATCAAAAACTGGATCAGAATTTATGAATAGCAAGCTCAGTTCATTTCTTATGGTCTCACTGGGAGTGCGGTCACCAAAATACTTCCACGCGGTTTCCTCCTCCATCCCTCTTAGTTTAGGCCCCATGAAATATAAGCATAACTCGAATAGGATTATTTGCACTCGTTGAAACAGGGACGATTTCCCGTACACCCCGATTACGATATCGGGATATACGATCGGATGTGCGGGGTGGCCAAATAACCTGTAGATGGCGTTGCTGGAATCAAGACTGTGCACCCCTATGTAAGGGCAGTTAAATCTTCTCGAAAAGTATAGCATGGGCGAGGACATGTACTCGGCGATAAGCAGGTCAAAGTGCCCATCGGGGTCGTTGATGAGTTTTTGCACTTGGTGATGTTGAAGTTGGAGCACGTTGATGTCGTGAAAGACCCTAATTGACAAGTCCATTACCTTGAAAATATTGTGACTGGAGTTGACGATTTCCAGAACTTTGTCCTCCAGGATTTTGATTGTGAAGCTTAGATCAATCTCGGTTAGGTTTTTTAGAGATGGGTCCTTCATTGGATGAGATGTGAGTACCGTCACTTGGTGGCCACGAAGTGATAGCTCTTTCCATAACGGTTGAAATGGCACTTGGTGACTGTACGAGGGGGTTGGAATTATACCTAAAATTCGCGCACATTCTCCCACTCTTGTAAGGGTTAATATTGTTACTAAAGTTTTCACTATATTCATATTGCTTTAGATTGATGTCGACTAACCGCTGATGTCACCATATCGCCATATAAATCATCACTGTGTTATCATTTCTAATTGGCAGATTACAATTATCTGTGTCCAAAAACGGGGAACGGTCCCCAGTAATTTTAAGGTTTCTGTTTCGGTGAGCTTACTTTTGTTCGAGTTTATCAAATTTACTGCGGTCGTTATGGCTTCTTCTGATCGTTTCATGGTCCAACATCTCGGTTTCCAGCTCTTATGTTTTAGTTTGCAATTCTCATTTCTCAGTGTTTAATTTCCGTTCCGCTTTCCGATTCAGGGTTTCCTGAGCCGAATTCTTAATTTCAATTTTCTGGATCTATATTCCAGTCCCCAGTTTCCTATTTCAGTTTCCAACTAAGTTACAGATCTCGGATCTGGAACCTAATCGTCCATCTGTCGGGTTCTAGTTTCAAAATCCAATTCTTCAATTCCTAATTGTTTGTTATCCGCCTTCAGGTTCCATTTTTCATATTCGTATCACCAGATTTCAATCTCCACATTCAGTTTCATAAATGAACTTTTTTTCAATTTCGGGTTTTTATATCCCAATCTCCTCATTACTAGCTGCCTAATTCTTGACTTTAACCAAGTTCCCGATTTCCGGTTTCCAACGTTCCACCAGCATCTTGGGTATCATCTCCAAGTTTCGATTTCTAGTTTACTTATTTCAATTTCGGAATTCTAGGTACAAAAAACAATTGCTGCTTCCCATTTCCAGTTTCAGTGTTCACTGCTCGGTTTCCCACGCTTAAGTTATGATCCAACCTCCCACTTCCAATGCCCAGGCTAGTGATTGAGTTCCACTTGCCATTTTTATACCAATCTCTTCTCTGCGCCAACACATTGCAATTGTAATTTCATTTTCCAAGTTCCATTTCAGTATACATAATCCAAGTTCTCACTGTAGGGTTCTAGATTTCATCCCAATTTCCCATTTTCTGCTTAAATTCCACTTTCTAGATTCCGCTTTTGAAATACAAGTTTTTAAATTCCGGGTACAATGTTTCATCGTTCCCTTGTTTCCTATTTTCCTAGTTTCCTAGTTTCCTAGTTTCCTATAGATTCCTAGTTCCGTAGTTTCCTAATTTCCTAGTTTTCGAGTTTCCTAATTTCCTAGTTTTCTAGTTTCCTAATTGCCTAGTCTTCTAGTTTCCTAGTTTCCTAGCTTCCTAGTTTCCTAGCTTCCCGGTTTCCTAGTTTCCTAGTTTCCTAAATTCCTAGTTTTCTAACTGTTAGTTCTAGTTTCCAGTTCCAGAGTTTCAAGAGTTTCCGGAGTTTCCGGAGTTTCCAGAGTTTTCAGAGTTTCCAGTTCTCAGTTCCCAGTTCCCAGTTCCAAGTTCCCAGTTTCTAGTTACTAGTTTCCAAAGTTCAAAGACTCGCTTTAATATTTCGCATTAAATAGTCCCCTCACTTGGAGACAAATCCAGTTGCGCGATAAACGTTGTCCATTTCAAATTGTAGTTATTGCAATCTACAGTGTTGCAAACCTACCGTTTCCCATTTCCAGATTATACATTTTCCCTTGGAATTTCTTAGGAATTAGATTTGTGTTCTTATTTTTCCGTTTTTTACCTCCAAAACTAGTTTCCAGGTTTTAATTGGTATAGTTTCCAAATTCTACTCCCCAGTATCTCTCTAGAGCGAAGGATTAAGGGAAGAAAAAAGAGAAGGGAAGAGCAATGGGATAAGGAAAAAGAATAGGTTATAGAAAAAATTATAAAAGTCGAAGAAGAAAATTGAAAAAGGATGATGCCGAAAGGGGAAGAGCAAAAGGGAAGAAAGTAAGATGTGGATATAAGATATAGGAAACTAATGGTGAACAATAAGAATACAGATGGAGTACCAAAGACAGAAAAGAAAGAGTGGGGTTTGGAAGGCGAAACTAACAGCAAAAGAGAAGATAGAGGGAAAGTAAACAAACAACAGAAGAAAAGAGAAAAACGAAATAAAAAAATGAATAAGGGCAGCATGAAAATGATATTGTGTAATGTAGCGGAGATGGCTGATAAGTCTTTACCAATTCTGGGAGTTTGTAAGAGGATATGACGTTGTGGGTATGATAGATACTCATGGATAGAAGAAAGAATTGGTCAGGATTCCGAATGAATACATATGGAAAAACCAATTTCCGAAGAGGGACACAGTGGCGCCCCAGGGAGGGCCCTGGCCCACCAGTATTGTTGCTCGGCTCCCCTTGGCCTACCCTTGAAAAAATCATCAACGCTCCCATGAAGAAATTGCGAATTGCGCCTTGAATACGGCCGTTTCACTTTTTCCCATTCTTCCAAATAATCATTTAAATTCACTTTATCTTGGTAATATACAGGGTGAGTTTTTTCTTATGTTTAGTATGGGCATCTCATAAACTGAATACCGTTCGTACTAATATAAGACTCTTACTAATATAATACTACCCGCAAGTTAGTAAGGGAGGCATTGCATTGGGGTAAAAAATGACCCCTCACTTTTTACGGAAATACACGTTTTGAAGCACCAGGAAGTCTGAAAAGCTTTTGGAGCGAATCGCGCATGCGCAAACGTGTTAAACTGTCATTTCCAGCTAAAGGGCTGCACCGTTTGGAACCGAATTTGGTACAATAATAAATAAATAAATGTGTAGAATGGCGCATGCGCAGGTTGTATCTGCGCTAGTCACAGCAAATTTGTTTGCCTATTTGGCAAATTCCTACCTTTGCCTTACGAATAAAACAAAACTATATGTGCCTACACTCTGATACAGAAAAGGCGTTTGAAGTTAATCGGCGGCAGCTAACAAAGAGGCGGTCGATGGAAGATGCGAAAGAGGTATCTTCCTCTTTCGAGTAATGATTTTTTTTCGTATGTAAAGATGTTATAAAAAAGCAACTTTTAAAAACGTTGTTGCCCCCCCTCCCACTTTTTTGAAAATTTGTCATGGCTTAACTGTAATGGCGCTAGTTTTAATTGAAGTGGTGCAATTGAGCGCATGACCAAATGTATCAGGTGACCTAGTTACCAGCGACAAATTACGTTCGGGGAGGGGGGGGGGGACTACGTACACTTGGCATCTCCCAAATGTATTTTCGGATTTCTAAAAAATGATAATGGCGCAAAAGTTATTATCGGTGGCGCATGTGAGCGCATAACGAGCGCAATTCATTTGAAAAGAATACGACTATCAAATCTCTCAGGGGGGGGGGTCCTTATGTGACTCTTGGCGACAAAAAAGGAAGGACAGTCGTTAAACAGGGTGCAGGTGCCAACCCTGCTAAGGATACTGCCTCAGTAAGTCTCCTGCAGAAGGAGATGAAGAGGAGGATGCTTAACAATAACGCAAAGCTAATCGTCGCATACCCTTCTGTTAGCCCTCAGGTGGGTCTGAAGCGTGGCCGGTTTTCTGACCACGTGAGAATGTCTGAGTCTCTCAAACCAAATGTTCAGGTCATATGTATACCACTAGTTCCCTTACAAAGGCAAAATTGACACTTAAAAAATTTAAAAAAACCATTAAGTGCTCCCGTTACATAATCCACGATTATTCGAATTCTTTCCAACCTACGGGATCCATTCCTTGGTTTCTTCTGACTTCCTGTGGTCTTCCGATTCCTCAAGTTCTTGAGATTTTGGACTTTGAATTGTAGATTGCAGACAATTGTTAACGGGTGTGATGTGTAATCGCACAAGGCGTTTTTTTTTGCATCTTAAGTTGTATTTCTTACTTTTATTACTATGTCATTTATCGTAGCGTAGATCAGTTTCCATAAGCCTAAGGGTGTTCGTAATACGATGCACTTTACATTATAAAAATCATTTCCCGCTTGGTGGCGTCACCAGTGACTAGGCAGCATCTAATCTAGTACTACTTATAGATACCGAAAGCATCACAATCGTTAGTACCACAATGCACGTTTTCCAAGTAGTGTTAGTAATATGTCTGAGTCAATCGAGTTATTGTGCGCGAATTCTTGGGGTGATACCGACTCCTTCGTACAGTCACCAAGTCGTCTTTCAACCCCTATGGAAAGAGTTATCCTTACGCGGGCACCAGGTGATCCTACTGACCACAAACCCGATCAAAGATCATTCCCTTACAAATTTAACCGAAATCGATCTGAGCTTCTCCTACAAGTTTCTGGAAGAAAATCTACTGGAGATTATTAATTCAAGTCAAAACATTTTAAAATCTACCTCGTTGTCGATAAAGTCGTTTGCTAATGTGATGGACGCACAACTTCAGCATCCTCAGGTGAAGAGGTTGTTACAAGATCCAAACGAACACTTTGATCTTGTAATTGCCGAATATTTTATGGCAGGTGCTTTGTATTTCGCAAGGAGATTTAACTGTCCATGTATAGGGGTGTTATCCATGGACGGAAACAATCCTGTATACCGACAGGTTGGCAATGACGGTCACCCTATCGTCTATCCGGACCCTTTCTCTCGCATCTCCGGAACATCTAGTATTTTTGACCGCATCGGTTTAGTGATGTTCGAACTCTACTTTCAAATATTTGATTTCAACGGAGAGCAGCAGAAGGTCGCTAAGAAGCATTTCGGAGACGATACGCCGATTTCAGAAGTGCTAGCGAATGTAAGCTTACTGTTTGTGAATACTGACCCCATCTTCCATTACACCAGGGCTCTACTTCCGATGATTATTCCTATTGGTGGGAACATAGCTCGAATTCCAGTGAATCCGCTAGAGAAGGTAAGTGCTATACCAACAGCGCAATTTCAGACCGTAAGCTTTCAGAGCGTCAAAAAGTTTTTGGATGAAGCTCATCAAGGTTTCATCTATTTTAGCTTGGGATCAAATGTTAAGAGCAAGGACATTCCCGAGAGTACCATGGACGTGGTCCTTGAAACTCTTCGTGAGATCCCGTACAGAATACTTTGGAAGTACGAGCTGGACGATTTGCCCAATAAACCCGAGAATGTGATGATATCAAAATGGATTTCTCAGATGGAGGTTTTAAGTAAGAGCACTACATTGGTCAATGCCGTTCTTGAACTAGCCTTTCAGAGCATCCTAATTTGAAATTATTTATCACGCACGGCGGAGCACAATCGATGGAGGAAACGATTCAGGCGAGGGTGCCTGTGGTTGGGATGCCCTTTTTTGTCGATCAACCGTTCAATGTTCAACAAATGGTGTCCTTGGGGTTCGCTCTGTCAGTCGATTACAAGACGATGTCCAAAGAGACCTTCAAACAGGCCATCTTGGAAGTTATTAATAATGACAAGTACGTTAGTGGCCTCTGAGGTCAACAATGATGTGATTTTCTTCAGATACCATAACCGAATTAGGGAGTTGGCGAATCTGGTGGAAGATCAGCCGATGACCGGTCTAGAGCGGGCTGTGTGGTGGACTGAGTACGTTATTCGTCACAAAGGCGCTGCTCATTTCAAAAGTCCGGCACTCGACATGCCTTGGTATCAGTACTACTTTTTGGATGTCATCTCCGTGTTACTTTTCACTTTGATTGGGTCACTCTATTTCATGGTGAAAGTGATAAAGGCAACCCTACGCGCATTAAGGCGAAACATTGTGAGGTCGAAAGCAAAGAAGAATTAGTTTAGTACTACTTTTAGGTTAGAATTTAATTTATTGTATTGCCAATAAGTAATAAAAACCGGAGGGATGGTTCAAATAATAATCAAACCCCATAACAGCGCCTGGAGCACAGAAAGCGATGACCAGGAAGAGTCAGTTCAAGATTAAAACCTCAGACCAAGAGAGTCATGCGCCAAAGCCTAAAAAGGTGTCGATCTCGGAGAACAAGGTCGAAAAGGAGCGCTCTAGGGTCCGGTTTAGGGCACCAAGATTTTTGGTTACCCAGAGTTGCTGGTGTGCCATCGTTACCGAACCTCAGTCAAATTGCCTCATGGCTGCACTAAATGCGCCACAGCGGGGAAACCTCTTACTCTTCTGACGAGGTTCCACTGGAAACCTGCAGAGTGCCATTTTGGCCGAAGACTGGTGGACCGTGTCACGGCTAGAGAGGGACCGTCCCTCTTATTCGCCTATGGTTTCGAGACAGACCTTTGGAAGACCCTATTGGGCGGTTCAGCGGCAGAACTTTAACAAAATCCACAAGCTACAATTTCCTGGCTCTTGTGTTGGTTCTTGACAGCGACAAGGGCTTAAAACGGTCAAGAAACTGGAAACCGAGTGTATCAGCATTGCTGGTCGAGGTAACTTTTCTGTAAAGCAATTTGCCTCATACAAGAACGCTGGGTATCTAAGGGGCGGGCAAGAGGTCAAGGTCAGGTGGAGAACTCCTTCATTATAACTGACTGTACCTAGGATCTATGTTTATGCCGATAGACGCATCTAGTATTAATTTAATCAGTGATTTTCTTAGCTGCAAGACGGAGCAGGAACTTGGCCTGCCTCCTGTCGTCTCAGAAGAGGTTCCACATACGTACTGTCGAAATGGTAGGCTTCCGTTTGTGGTTGCCTGTGACGCTAACGTCCACCATCACCAAATGAGCCGTTGCGACGGAAATGGCGCTCTCGGTTAGCAGAGCGTAGAGCGGGGAGAGTGTTCTCTCCACTGCTGTGGTGCTTAATTCTCGACGGGTTCTTCCACACTCCACACAGGGATGCGTGGAGGGTGACCGGTGGTATTTATAACCGAAAGTTTCGAAACCCCACGAAATAGCTCTTGGACGGGTGGATAGATGGCGCAGCAGCCATGGCTTCTTTCCTTATTCCAGGAAAAGACCGCGATTTTTGCATTCCCAAATAGAGGGAGAGCACTCACTCTTCAGACGCCAACTGCTTTTGGCGGTAGATGGGATTTGAATCCTCAACTTTACGGTGCAATTGTATGGTGGCTTGCCATGTGCAGGGAAACCGACAGACAATAGCTGGGGGTCACTGGAGCAAGGAAGATCACGCCAACTTTGGCAATGGATGCACTTCTAGGACCATTGGATTGAGTAGATGCGTTGAAGGATAGAAGCAGCACGGGAGGATCTAGGAGAAAACCCTCAAATCCGATCCCCTCCTCACGCGGAGAGATATGGCCCGGGCCGTTTCACTTTGGTACACAGATGGGTTCCTGTGGTGATGCAGATGAAACTATCGAGCATGTGGTCAATTTCTGTGTCACCTTGATAGGAGACAGACTTCAGCTTCTTTATTGACAGGAACAGACCCGAAAGAAAATTTATATATGTACCGCTTCATGGGGAAGGTGAACACGAGTTGGGTGCAGCGATAATCGAGCAAGCGAGATAACAAAAATGCAGGTTTTCCATTGGTTTACAGGGCACGCCGTGCTATGGTTCCGTTTCGGTTATTTCTTCACTAGGAAACTTCATTATAAATAAATCAGTGAGAGGGGAGAGGGCAGTCCAATTTGGATCGCACGGTTTTAAGAGAGATCGCCGCAAACAACGGGTACTGGAGGCAATTACAGTGGCCCTATCACATTTAATCGCAGAACAATTTTGACAAAGATCGTCTGTGGGTCTAAATTATAGTAAATCCTAGTTAAGCTCGTGTATGAAATTGTGCAAATAGTCGGAAGCCAAAATACGTAACGCAGTTCACGTGTTATTAAAATTCTGATAAAGACAATTTGCTTTAATGCAGCGCGTATGGAACCGAGGAGGAGAAACGCAAGCTTTGAATGCGGCCGTTATCTACAAATTTCTATAACTACAACAATTTTTACCAGAATGAGTTCTAAATATTCAACTGTATCAACCCAAAAGCGACCCAGTTTTCAGTTTTTCTTAGAGGGAGCTTTTTCAAAAGAGGACTGTACCATTTGCAACCTAAATATAAACACCGATTCTTTTGATATTGTATATAAGAATTAGCTCTGCGCGGAGATCAAGTGCCGGTACTAGCGACAGATCCAATCAACGACCCTAGAAGTTCTTGGAAGTTCGAAGTTGGCAATCTCGGCAGTCATACTACGACTGTCGGTGGGTAACGCAGATGGCTGTCGGTGCGATCTAAAAACGTCTGTAACCCGAGAGTGCCACCCATACGATAAGCAAACAAACCGCTGTACTTTGCCAAAAAGTTTAAGAGTCCATGCATTTGAGTGCTATCCTATGAAGAAAAATTGACAAATCTGAAACTAGGTTGAAATGTAACCTGGAAAAGAGGTTATGGAAAGTTGAAATCTGGAAAGACTAGCATAAAAAGACTGAAATTTGATGATTCTAATAGAACCCAGAAGGTGAAAACTACATAATGAAACTTAAACACGGAAGACGAGGAACGGGAAACTGAGATGTTGGAATATAAGTCGGAAGACGCAATTCCAGGGATCCAGAAACTGGAATCTAGATTCCCAAAACTGGAATATTAAAGATAGTATCTAGAAACTGAAATGTAGAAACTGGAATATAGTACCCGAAAACTGGAAACTAAAGTATCAAATTTGGAATTTGGAACCTGGAAACTCGATTTTGGAATTTGGAATGTTTGAAAAATTATAAAGGATGTTAAAAATAGCAACAGGGAAACAACAGTTTCAATTTGGAAAGTGGATATAGAAAGTGGAATGTGGAGTATCTGAAATCCGACAGCTACAACTTGGAGATTTGAATATGGAAACTAATGGAAGCAACTGGAAAGTAGAATCTAGAATTGGAAACTGGAATATAAAAATTGTAGGTATATGGGAGGAGCAATAATTTGGCAGTGAGGAATGAAAAACTAATACATACCTCAAAGCTGGAATGTAAAACCTGGGATTTGAATCGAGACGAACTGGGAGCTAGTATTTTGCAACTGGAAATAAAAAACTGAGTTCTGGAAACTGGAATATGAAAATTGCGATCTAAAATCCGGATACTGAATATGTAAGTGGATAACAAGAAACTATGAACTGGTAACTAAATCCTGAGAGCTGAAAAGCAGAACATGGATATTGGAACTGGGATTGTGTAACTTGCAAACCTTTGTAAAACAAACACTTAACTGGGTATTAGGATCCGGAATTTCTAGAAATGGGAATCGGCCACCAAGTCGTCACGCTCTTAATTGTATTCTGTAGACTGGATTATGAAAAAACCAAAATATCGAAAATAGTATCTGGAACTAAGAAACTGGAATCTCTTTCTAGGGCGCAGTTGGAATATGAAAGCTGGAATCTTGAAACGGGCATTTTTGAAAACTAGGAAAAACAGCCAAAAAACTTTAATGCGGAAACTGGAAGCTGGAAAACAGAACCTGAAAACAGCAATGGTAACACAGAAGCCGGAGGAACATTGATAATCGGAAGGTTGAAAGAAAGTACAGGAATATGGTAACTAAAATCGTTAAAATCTGGCAAGAGGGATATGAAAAGCATAAAATACACAATTAGGCATTGAGGAATGAGAGGAGATAATTGGAATCAAGAGATTGGACCATGAAATGATGGGAAGAACCAACAACTCTAAGAATTCACAGGATCTGCAACAAATTTGATACGCCCGAACCCGTTTGGTTTTGTAGTTAGTTATCGCATGTGATTTTGAAATTATATAATAATTTAATCTGCAGACAAGGTATGATAGCGTAGTCGTGATTTCAAAGGTCGCTTCCAAATTTATCAGCGATCAGTTGGCATCAATCTAGGGCAATATGAATGTAGTGAAAGCTGTTGTAACTATATTCACCCTCACAAATGTGGGAGAAGGTGCGCGAATCTTAGGTATAATCCCAACCCCCTCATACAGTCACCAAGTGCCATTTCAACCGCTATGGAAGGAGCTATCACTACGTGGCCACCAAGTGACGGTACTCACAACTCACCCAATCAAGGACCCATCTCTAAAAAACCTAACCGAGATTGACCTAAGCTTCTCGATCAAAATCCTGGACGACAAAGTTATGGAAATTGTCAACTCCAGTCACAATATCTTCAAGGTAATGGAATTGTCAATTAGGGTCTTCCACGACGTCAACGTGCACCAACTTCAACATCACCAAGTGCAAAAACTCATCAACGATCCCGATGGGCGCTTTGACCTGCTTATCGCCGAGTACATGTCCTCGCCCATGCTATACTTTTCGAGAAGATTTAACTGCCCTTACATAGGGGTGCACAGTCTTGATTCCAGCAACGTTATCTACAGGTTATTTGGCCACCCTGCACATCCGATCGTATATCCCGATATCGTAATCGGCGTGTACGGGAAATCGTCCCTGTTTCAGCGAGTGCAAATAGTTCTATTTGAATTATTCTTAAGTTTCGTGGGGCCTAAACTGAAAGAGTTGGAGGAGGAAACCGTGTGGGAGCATTTTCGTGACCGCACTCCAGGCGAGACCATCAGAAACGAACTGAGCTTACTATTCGTAAATTCTGATCCAGTTTTTGATTACAAACGACCACTGCTTCCGTCTGTTATTCAGATTGGAGGCACGATCGCTAGGGTACCCGTAAAACCTCTTGAGAATGTAAGTGACTAGGCGACTAACCATGCGTGACATTAATGCTGTTTCAGAGGGTAAAGAAGATTTTAGACGGAGCATCCGAGGGTTTCATCTACTTTAGTTTAGGTACTAACGTTAAAAGCAAGGATATTCCTCCACACGCCCTGAATGTTATTCTTGATACCTTTCGGAAGCTCCCATACAAAGTGCTGTGGAAGTATGAGCTGGACGATCTCGCTGATAAGCCTAGTAACGTCCACATTTTAAGATGGGTGTCCCAGATGGAAGTGTTAGGTAAGCCTTCGTTAAGGTGAGTAATCCAAGTAACTTCGGCCAACTTGCAGATCATCCTAATCTCAAGCTGTTTATCACTCATGGAGGTGTGCACTCAATGCACGAAGCTGTCCACGCCAAGATACCTATGGTTGGCATGCCCTTTTTTGCTGACCAGCCGTACAATGTCAAGAAAATGGTAGGCATGGGAATTGCCCAGTACGTGGACTACCAAACAATGACCACGGAGGAACTGGAAAGCGCCATTATAGAAGTTATTCGAAATCCAAGGTGAGATACACCAAAACGGCGGCGTTATATCTTTGAGGGTGGTTCAGTTACAGAGAACGCGTTAGAGAGTTGGCCGACTTGGTCGAAGATCAGCCGATGACTGGGCTGGAGCGCGCGGTTTGGTGGACAGAGTACGTCTTACGCCACAAAGGCGCTCCGCACTTCAGAAGTCCCTTTCTGGACTTGCCGTGGTACCAGTATTATCTTTTGGACGTTTCCGCTATTGTTTTTGTTACGTTGTCCGTTGCCACCTTCGCAGTTATTAAGACTTTGAGGATCATCATTTGGGTCCTTAAGCGAATTTCAGGGAAAAGTACGAAACCTAAGAAGGAATAAGGAGTAATGGGTTCTAGCAGTCTTAGGAACACTGCTGTTTTGGACGGCATTTTAGTAAATGTGTGCTTGTTGAATAAATAACTTTTATAAATACCGTTTTTGGTCCCTTATTATTATGCTACATTTTGCCCAGGGCACAATATTAACTTCACGTGGATAATCTGTTCCTCTCTTAATTCTTCTTCAATGGTTTCCCGCGCATAACAATTCGTTAGAGATGTCTATTGCAAAGATACGGAACGTCTTACACACTTTCCCATACGATTGACCTCACCCCACTCCCTTGGTGTCGTGAGCCTTTAGTCGGAATCAACCATAACAACCAAAATCACGTCTCATACCCGCCCAACGGGCACTTTTTAACTTGCAATAATATAAATTCAAACCTTCCTGTTACAGTACCCCCTCCTTGCTTGTGAGGGGTAACCCTAAAGTATATAAAAACATCAAACTCTAAACTAAATTTTCCCTGTCGCTCTTTTATATTCGTCGCTCTCTTCTTACGCCTCCTTTAGCCTTTTCTAGCGCTTTTTCATACCGTTTCTCTCCTTTTTCCATTAAACTTTAGAACTACTTCACGCACATTTCACGTCTTTTTCTGTCACTTCTTTCAGTTCTTCCTGGTTATTTTTATTCATCTGCATGTCTTGTCTTACTTGCAACTGTTTCAAATCCCTTGTTCCTTACGTCCCCTTCAGGTTTGCTTACACATTCCTCATCTCTTCTTCCCCTCCTTTACCACTAGTTCACATTCCCGCCTTCTTCACGTATTCCACGCGTCTACTTCACTCTTGGCCCATTTTTTAGCGCATTTCCCAAAAATAGAAAAACGCGCTATGGTGGCCACTTTGTCCGTCCGTCCGTCCGTTGAGGCGCTACTAGTTCTTTATCTTAAGAGCTATTGTTCTACTTTTTTCGCTATTTGGTTCGTTATGGTGTCGAGGCTTGCACCAAGGAAGGAAATTTTCTGCGTTTATTGCTAAAAAAGTTATTGTAAGAAAAACAAAAACCGTTTTTTACATGTGTCATAATTTTACACTTTTGTTATGAACTGAATTGCATTCAATATGGGCATACCTTTAGCCGTATAATCTTAGACCATATAGTACATGGACTGCTAATTGTAATTAAAATATAGTCAAGGACATCGCCTGGGTATGTGCGTTTCAGGGTAAACGAGTCTGTCCGAAATTGTCCGTTGAGACACGATTTGGGGCTGCCAACCTATAAATTCACAAACGTCAATTAATTAATCGCCTAGATAAGCCAAAAAAAAGCAAACCTATTCTTATTTGTGGCAGTATAGAAGATAATCAAGAGTATCGTACTACGCGGTTGCCATAAAAGCTACTCTTTACGCGATCCGAGTGGTGTTCATACGACTTTAGTTTACCCTGAGATTCACATACCCACGACTACAGTGCCCTCTATCCGTGACCACCCATTTTGTATTCAAAGCATAGGGCTAATAGCAGTCCATGTACTATATGGTCTAAGCGTATAATACGCAATGCCAAAAGTTAAGTCGAATCGATTCAAAATTCACAGTGCCCTTTTAGCATCCCGACCATTTATAAACCGAATTGCAAACTTTGTTATTTATAAAAGTATTTGAATGAAATTTGATACATAGGCGCTTGGAACAAAGGAAAATCTAACGTTAGTTTCAAAATTTAGATTTGCGCATGCGCGGTTCCAACTTTCTTATTTAGAAAAGCATTGAAGCGGTTGACCTATATTGATTTACCCTAGAGAGGGACAGTAAATGAATAAATGAATTAAAATTCATTTATTTATTTACTGTCCACCTCTTGTTCTGGCCCCTCAACAGGCTTTCGGCCAATTATAGAGTGACCAACCTAATGCTTTTTAGAGGTGTCTCTGTAGAAGATCTTAAGTGTTCTATACTACTCCGGTATTTACCTTACGAATTAGGAAAACTGCGGAAAAACCTAATTCGGAGTAGTCGGCGGAATACTCGAAACTGATCTAAGGAAATTCCCATCTCAGCCACAGTTCGAACAGTGTACACAGTCAGCTGTTGCATGTTTTGGCTATTAATTGCCACACTTGGACTATTCTTCCTGTTTTACTACTTACAGGAAATACAATAAATTAAGTTCTAACCTAAAACTAATTCTTCTTTCCTTTGGACCTCACAACGTTTCGCCATAGCGCGCGTAGGGTTGCTTTTATCACTTTCACCATGAAATAGAGTGCCCCAATCAAAGTGAAAAGTAACACGGAGATGACATCCAAAAAGTAGTACTGATACCAAGGCATGTCGAGTGCTGGACTTTTCAAATGAGCAGCGCCTTTGTGACGAATAACGTACTCAGTCCACCACACAGCCCGCTCTAGACCGGTCATCGGCTGATCTTCCACCAGATTCGCCAACTCCCTAATTCGGTTACGATATCTGCAGAAAATCACGTCATTCTTGACCTCAGAGGGCATTAACATACTTGTCATTATTAATAACTTCCAAGATGGCCTGTTTGAAGGTCTCTTTGGACATCGTCTTGTAATCGACTGACAGAGCGAACCCCAAGGACACCATTTGTTGAACATTAAACGGTTGATCGACAAAAAAGGGCATCCCAACCTTCCAAAGTATCCTGTAGGGGAGCTCACGGAACGTTTCCAGTATCGTATTCAGGGTGCTAGATGGAATATCTTTGCTTTTTACATTTGAGCCTAAACTGAAGTAAATGAAGCCCTGGTGAGAACCGTCCAAATACCTCCTAATACTCTGAAAACATAATTTTCGTTAGCGTGGTTTACTTAATCAGTGCGCTAACCTTTTCCAACGGTTTAACCGGAATTCGGACTAGACTTCCCCCGATTGGAATGACGGACGGAAGTAGTGGCCTGATTTTGTGGAATATTGGATCTCGATTGACGAACAGCAAACTGACGTTTTGCAAAAGGTTTTTTACAGGAGTATTGTCTTGGAAATGTCTTTGACCAATCTCCTCCTGACCCTGGAAGAGTCCAGTTCCAAATTCGATGTAAAGGTCCATCAGTACCATTAAAATGCGCTTTGACCATGAACTCTCATCAATGAGTTTGGGTAGATAATGGAATGGGCAGGGTTTCCAATCTGTTGGTATATGTAGTTTGTCCCATCAGTCGATATTACCCCGATATAGGGACAGTTGAACTTTCTTGCGAAGTACAGTGGGGCGGGTAGCACGTACTCTGCGATTACGAGGTCGTAGCCGTCATCGGGGCTTTGTATAAGTCGTTGAACTTCGTGATGTCGTAGTTGGGCATCGGCCACGCTGTTAAATGCTTGCACTCCCAAACTCCACGCCTTTAACTGTCCCGAACCAATGATTTCTGCAGGCTTCTCCTCCAAAAACTTATACGAGAAACTCAAATCGATTTCGGTTAAATTTGTGAGCGAAGTATCATTCATGGGATTCGTCGTTAGAACCGTCACTTGGTGTCCACGCAGAGATAATTCTTTCCATAACGGTTGGAAAACAACTTGATGACTATATGATGGTATTGGAATTAAGCCCAAAATACGGGCGCATTCGAACAGATCGAGAAACGCAAGCAACAGCGCGCACTGCACCTTCATCATGACAGAGAGGAAAATTATTCTCTACCTACTGTATTTTAATTAAACCTCACGCGGTACTTAAAGATATTGGGATATCAGATCAATTAAAAAAAAAGATAAAACTGTTCCTGTCCTTGTTCAGCAATTTCAGCTACTAAATGATTAGCAAGTTTTTTAGATCGGTAACTGGGTTTCTTAATTGTTAACTGATATACTCGTTTAAATCATCACCTTCCGTCACGTCTGGGCATGTTTTAATTATGAGCATTCATCTTGCTCTGTTCACCGCGGCTGAGTCTCTCTACTCACGCCCCCTTCACTTAATCTGCACGTTTTCTTCATGTCTATACCGCGACTACTTCACATTCATTCTTTAGAAACCCCTCCTACAAGTTTTCATCCCACTTCTCTTACAAATCCCAGAACCTTTTTTCACATTTACAGTTCCTCACACTTTCTTCATTCCTAGTTTAATTGTTTTAGGGCTTCTTCCCCACAATTTCTTGCTTTTGAGTTCGCCCCTTTTCACCTTTTTCAAGCCACAGTAACTATTTCGGCGCGTTTTATGCCTACTTCTGACACCTTTGCTTCCTTTACCAACACTCTCCTTCGCACCTCAACAGCGCATTGCTCACATTTTACTCCATTTTCACGTGTATATCAAATATCAGACATTAGACATCAGACATTAGACATCAGACATCAGACATCAGACATCAGACATCAGACATCAGACATCAGACATTAGACATTAGACATTAGACATTAGACATTAGACATTAGACATTAGACATTAGACATTAGACATTAGACATTAGACATTAGACATTAGACATTAGACATTAGACATTAGACATTACACATTAGACATTAGACATTAGACATTAGACATTAGACATTAGACATTAGACATTAGACATTAGACATTAGACATTAGACATTAGACATTAGACATTAGACAATAGACATTAGACATTAGACATTAGACATTAGACATTAGACATTAGACATTAGACATTAGACATTAGACATTAGACATTAGACATTAGACATTAGACATTAGACATTACACATTAGACATTAGACATTAGACATTAGACATTAGACATTAGACATTAGACATTAGACATTAGACA